TATATCAAACAATTTTTATATTTATATACATATTTATTTTGCGTTTATAATTTTATAATACAATAGTTTGTACATTGTTAACGATTTTGCGATTTTAACATTGAAAATGACCTAATGAAGGTCGAAACGTTTGTTTTTATATTTTATTAAACTTTATATTTATTTATTTTTAATTAATGACAGTTTATTGCTAAGACCTTTATATTTTAACTAATGTTGGCTCGTAGCCTTTTGTATTAATTGTTATATAATATCATTTCCTTACAAATAAATGTTGTACATAAAATTGACATTACATGTTTCGGTTACTACATCGAGCCATCTTCAGATGTTTCTTCTTATAAATCTGGATAAAACGCATCGAACATGCAAGACAGTAGTTCTCTGATGAATTACAAAATTGAAAACGATCGTTTTCAAGCAGTTGGTAAACTGAATGTAACAATTTTCTTTTTGAACAACTCAACTGTGAAATGTAAGAAAAATGAGAACAACCTTAGATCCAAGAATATAAGATAAAAAAATATAATGTGTCAATCTATAACTCACCAAAGAAAAACCCGTGCATGTACGTATCAATAATAAAAAGTGTGTCAAAACAAAATTCAAACTTATTATTTCCATAAAGGAAGAGTCAAATAAATTGCGTGTATACATTGTAAAAGACAAACGTGGAATGAAAGACAGTGATGTCATATGTGAAATCGATGATGACAAGTCATATTTTGTTTATTATTGGTATAAACGACTGTGATGATTTAAAGTGTCCGTTTGTAAATTTAAACCGTTTTTTTGTTTCTCAATATTGCACATCTCAGAAATCAACCTTTTTCCATAACATGGTTCTTCGTCCAAGACTAAAACATTGTCCCAATCGAAATCGTGTTTTAATGTTAATCTATGATCTGTTATGACTGAATGATTTGATGTATTCCAATTAATGTGATTGCGGTGTTCTTTTATCCTTGTTTTTAATTGTCTTCCCGTCTGTCCGACATAGGAAGCATCGCAATCTTTACAATTAATTTTGTAAACAACGTTATTTTTATTGTATTTTAAGCAAGGATCTTTTTGAGCCTTAATAAAATTATTCATTTTATTAATACTGTAAAAAGATACTTTTAATTCTTTTTTATTAAGTCTATTAAATTTATCTGTAACAAATGGTATAAATGGAATCGTAAACCAAGACACTGGATCTTGTGTGATGTCATTATTAAGAGAATTGTGTGAATT